GCTTTGATCTTACTATCCTTGCCTTTACGCTTACGTACTTGTTGAAGCACAAGGCCAAGTCGAGCTTGTGGTCACTCCTCTTCACGGATGGATTGGTCTATTTCCTCACTGCGTTCTGTTTCAATGCTCTTCCCGCCGTATGTATCTCTCAGTATCACGATGTCAACGGCTCTGATAGTCTGACCCTCAGATTTTGAACGTTATCAACCTAAATGGTATGTAGCTGCAATCGCTGAACTGAAAACAGTGCTTACATGTGTTTTTCGTAGTGGCCATGGATGTGTATGTCAGCCCCACGATTCCTAGCTTCACCAGCCTAACTAATGATCCTTTCGACGCCCGATACCCAGTGTCGCAACGGTCAGCTTCTGCAACTCCGTCCCGGCCCATTCCCCATACTCACGTCCATGCAGGTCCCCGCAGCGTGCTTCTCCTCCATCGCCGCCTGCCGCGCTGTGATCCGCTTGCAGGACTTCGCGCGGCCAGACGTCTACGTGCACACTGCGTCGCAGGTCGTGTCCGGCGGGAGCGCACAGAGCCCCAACTACACCGGCGGTGGCGCAACGCGCGCCGTGCGTCGCTTCACGTCGCGCCGCAACGAGCCGCAATTCGCGCGCCCAGAAGTGCACGTCACTACAGACCAGTTCGTCGTCGAGGATTACCGGTGCGTGTCGCATTCGTGTTTCAGATGTGGGGAAGGGCACTGATGGTGTAGTGCAGGATGAAGCCCATCTCACCCGGGAGTGAGCACACACGGGTCAAGTTTGACGGGTCGGACTACGACATGTCCGAGGCGGAAGAGGAGGCCAAGGCGGCATACCCCATCGTCGAGGCCGTCTAGGTTGCTAGCGACTAACATCGGCTCACATGCATCGAAACTTTCGGCCCAGAATGAGGTGGCTGAGTCAAAATTACGATCAACCTACACCGGAGTGTAGATGTCTGTGCGATTATGTAGGTCGGTTAGATGGAAGGAAGTGTTGTATCCCTGCAGTCAGGTTCAAGATACCCTACCCAGCACTCCACTATAATTCTGCTTCATCCGCGAACTGTGTCCCTTACTCCGATATACCTCTGTCACAGTACTATACTCGTAACATAGCCAGTGCTCTTGATTGAGTGCAATTCCACCGCGTTCCCTTTGCACATGCGTGTACCGATGCACCGCGAAGATCAAGCTGTTGCACGTAACCCAAGCTAAGGCATTCGACCGATGTGGACATTCACACGGGGTGGGCATGCAGAAGCACTCATTGCGTTTTGACGTAGTGCCGATGATGAGCAGAGAGAATATGACAGCACAAGCAAAAGAGCTACATTACTGATAAGAATACAGACAGGACATATCGCGCGCATCATCGTCTCCGGTGACACCTCCCAGCTTTTCTCTTCGCAGCGATCCCTCCCTGCCGGTTCGTCCCTTTCACTTGCGGGTGGGCAGGCAGGCCCTTCGATAACCGCCATTCCTCGCGGCGGGACCCTCGGGGTCCGTGTGTGGATATCCGTTTCGTGCCCTCTGTTGAGGGGCCCGCGGAGCCGGAGTCGACTGCTATAGCATCTGTGGATGGCGAGATGGTCGAATCGAGTGGTGGAGAAATGTCGAGTCGTTGATAATGCGCCGGGTGAGATGAGTAGGAGGCGGAATCGGTGATGGTGGGTGTCATTTGGGAAGAATTGTTTCCAGAAGTATGCAATAGATAGGGTGGAGGCACGTGTTGTTTAGCACGCGATAGGGGTATATAGTGAGACATGGTGGATGAGCAGAGGCGGAGTTTACAGACCTGCACCCTCAGCCTGAGCGTTGCTCGTTGTCTGACCACCTGTCGGAAAAGTCATGGTGTCAACCATCGCCCCCATGAACCAGCTCCGAAAAGCAGGAAAGCTCAAGGGAAAAGATGGCTGAAGAGCCAGCCACCATCCTCTTCATGATTTCTCGTACCCGCGAGGCTGATCCTCCGTCCCTTCGAGTCAGCAGGGGCAGGAGCGGTGTGTCGTGCAAGGCGCTGCATGCCCTCGGCAGTGACATCTGCAGGATCAAGGAGACCAAAGTCCGCAAACCAGTACCAACCTGGTTGCTGCTGGGCGTCCTCCTGGCCACTGAACGATTCCTCCGGGACATCGACGTCGCCGTCTTTATCGAGGGTGGTGATGACCTTGAGTTTTTGGTGGAGGCGATTAAGACGTGCTGCCTCCGCGACGGCGTACACGCCCTCTGTGCGTTTCTTTGCGCGGAAATGACGCTTTACTTTTGAGCGGGTCGATTTGGCCATCGTTGGGTGAAGTGTATCGACGGCGAAGTATGTGAGGGTCGGTGGGGAGAGAGAAGATTGTGGCTGAAAGAGGTCGTCGATTGAAAAGACCCGCTCGGCACGTGCGCTGCGGCTGAATTCGAAGTAACTCGGAAAGAATGCAGTGTCCTGAGTACCGAGCGTCCACATCTATCGCTTAGCCATGGTGCATCAGTCGTCGACAGCTACTCTCATTCATCCCTCCTCCCGTACACCTAGCTCTCCGAGGATATCATGCCGCGGGTGAGTTCTTTGTAGTCAGGCGACATAGCGAACTCTGTGCAGTAGCCGATGGCCGAGCCGGAGCATGTGAAACCAGCCCACATCTCAGCTGCTTACCGGCGGGGAATCCTGTATACATACCTGCCTGCCCTCTGTGCTGTCTCACCTTCTCACCTGTTGGCTGTCCCGCATGTCGTATCCGCTGGGTTTCCCGTCAGAGCAGCCTCTGGTGACGGTTACACACCGTGCGCACTACGCCCTTCGAGCTCCAACATACCCTTGCTAACGGCGCAACAATAGCAACCCCAACTTCATGGCTCCTTGAGATGCACAATGGCGACGAGAATCGCTTCACGGAACATCTCATCAGGCATGCCTTGATGCCTGCGCTGGATGCAGTCGAGCGGCACTGGCGGGAGAACTGGCGTGCAGCCAGGGCTGCGAAAGACAAGAGCGGTGGACGGGGCACCCTCGTCATTGTCGGAAAGCGCGGACAGAACAAGTTCTTCAGCAATGGTCTGTATGATTCGCCGAACACTCGCGCAAGGCTCACGGAAGTGCAGGGCTTGACTACGACAACCTGATCAAGGACCCCCACTTCCAAACCAATTTCTTCCCTTGTGAGCGGCTTCAACAGCCTTTATTCCTTTTACGTCTGACAGACATGGACAGCCGTGTTCAACCCACTCATCCGAAGGCTACTAACGTTTCCTAGTAAGTCGCTCGCTCGGCCCGTGGCGTATACCCTCATCACATTGTGCAGTTCCTACCGTGGCTGCCATCAATGGCCACTGCTTCGCCGCAGCATTTGGGCTGTCGTTATGTTGCGACTACCGTGTCATGGTGGACGGCAGCAGCCGGAATGCTTGGATGTGCATGAACGAGGTGAGCCAACACACCCGCCCATCTGTCTGCGTCCAACTCCCGGTAGGTGCACTTCGGCGCCGCGTGGCCCGTATCCTTTGTAGGTATATTCCGAAACAAGGTCCATGATGCAAAGGTGCTGCGCAAAATCGCGTTGGAAGGCTACCGTTTCACGCCCCAAGAAGCACTCGAAGCTGGTTTGGTGGACCAGGTCGTCAAAGGCGATACGGAGGCTATCATCGTCAAGGCCCGCCAAGTCGGTGAGGCTGCCAGCGCAATGAGTGTGTCAGGCGCGTGGGGCGTTATCAAGGTGAGCCGTACCGCCTGGTGCACCGGGGTAAACGGAAGTGACGTTGTGTTCGTGCAGCGTGATCTGTACAGGGACGCGTTGGAGACAAGCGAGAGGTCCGTGCAGCAGGTGAACGTATTATCGGAAGACGCAGCGGCGAAGGCAAGGTTGTAGCACTTGTCATGATGTCTCAAGCTTCTTCGTGAAGGAACGAGGCCCTACACTATTGTATCATTGACGAGTGTCAGAGCAAGATTACTCCATGAGCCCTCGTTGTACTTCACAAGTTAAAGTCCATGATTCGCAAGTGATGATGGCGAGCGGGATGCGCATTAGGTGTGTTGAAGCAACCCATATATATGGGTGCCGCTGTGCTATACGGTGTAGCACAAAGTCTATGTTAAGAGAAGCACTGGCTGCCAGCATCCCTGCGAATAGAGCACGAAATGTCACCAAACGGTAAATGCTTCAACTACATAGCAGACACACCTCTCATGACGATGACTTCGACTCAGCATCTGGTTGAAGAACCTGTTTCTGCACCCGCTCGCTCTCCTCCTCCAACACCTCCAGCCCTGGCCGCCTCCCAACCTCGAGACCATACAGCGCGCGCAGGACCCTGGTCTCCCTATTGTTTCTACCGCCGCTCCACGACTCTCCCGGTTCTCGCGACGGCACTGCTGACCCCGCATCGTCCACCACCCTCATGTCGCCAATCTTCGGCGACGCCTCCATCCTGTCGAATTGCGAGTGGAGGTCCTTGTAATTGAGCTCTTCGCCGCGGTTCTGGCCCGTGCCCATCCCGAATTTGTAGACAAACTCCATGTCTATCGCTTCAGAGAGGTTGCTGGGCGTGAGGAAGAAGTCGGACTGCTGGTACAGAGACACGAGTGCGCGCATCCGCTCCTTGGGCACGGGTGCTGTGGGCCGTTTGCGACCTGAGGTGCTCGAGGCATATCTCCTTGCGCTGGTCGCGCAGCGGACGGGTCTTGTGAGACTGCTAGTCGTTGGTCGCATCTTGGCCACGCACAAATGTACGAGAGCGTAGAAGGCCTGTGATCAAAATAATGGTTACTGAATTGAAACTCAACTTATTGAAATTAACCTCAGTTTCTTATCAAAGTATCATATATCCCTATATATCCATTAGTGGCAGCCACCGGCATCTCCGGCAATCACACAGGCCATAGTTTTGAGTTTTCTGACCGTGCATGTTTGCTTACCAGACCTCCCATATCGAAATTTAATATGGGATACTAGATTTCAGTACGAGCCGGTGCTGTATTTGATTCCCGTGTTCTGAGCGTGTTATTTACAGCCAGTGCACCACTGTCACTGGCTTGGTGGTCTAGTAGTATGATTCCTTCTTAGGGCTGTTGTTCAGTCAATTTTCATGGAGGAGGTCCCGAGTTCAATTCTCGGCCAAGCCCTGCTTTTTACCTCGCGAACCATCTAGGTTTCATCAAATTTGAGTGGTCTGTTCCCTTGCAGTTCAAAATTTGTTAGACGACGCGAGCGCTGGTTGAGCGCCTAAAGTGTAATGGGCGCGTGGCGTCTGGTCACGCTTTCCTTTCCGCGCCTGTGACTGAATCACTTTCATTCTTTTCCGTGCTCTACTGTACAGCTCGCTCAAGCCCTTAGGACCCCGGTAGTAAGTACACTCACTCCTTTATATACGGAGCCCCTCCCCGTAGCTGTAGAGCAACGAAAGTTGGAATCAAAGAGCAGCCTTTAACTCTGTGATCCCCTTCGTGTGACTCTCTCTGTGACCGTCTCCTTTCGGACACCTTGTCTCGCGGTACCCGGCCTAGTCTCATACCAACACCCTCCTACGTGAGGGGTTTGTGCCGAAACTAGTACTTGGCTGTAATGGCGCACAGCTAAGCATGGAAATACAAATTCTGCAATAACCATGAAGGGTTCGAGTACCCAGCAAGTCCGTCTTGATACTATCAGAGTGCATTCAAGTCTTTTGCACACAATTTTACTAATCTGAATCAGGACGCACTTGAAGTAGTGAGTAACAGTTAGGTACATAACATGGTCAGTGCCAATATTACCATTGTCAACTGTGATTTATTACCTAAGTAGCGGGACTACTCGTTGGACAGTGTAGTAACTCCCGTCCGAGGCAGTGGGTAATTGAGGAAGGGCTCCTTTTACGGCCCTACAAGACCGGTCAAATAATGTCTTCCCTAGAGCATAGCTACGAGTGCCCCAATATTGACTACATTACAGCGAGAACAATTTTAGCCGAGTGTAGCATACGACGCTATAGCAAGGCCTTTACACCATGCTTCTCAAGGAGAGCCTTCTCCCTCCTCTTGATTTCTGCCGTTCGCTGTGCGAGAGCAGGGGCACGTTTCAGCTCACGCTGCCCGATCTGCTGGATGTGGACCTAGAGGGGGATGGTCAATCGCTAAACTCGCAAGCAAAGATATCAACGTACGGCGTCGGGCCCCTGCGTAGGCATCGTGTCAGCAGTGTGTGTACGAGAATGAGAATGCACATACATCAGCGATACGCAGTGTTCTTAACTGCGCGAACATCTGGGCAAGCGGCGTGTCTTGACTGACTCCCTCTGCACCGAAGGCTTGAATAGCGACGTCCACAACCCTCAGTGCCATTGAAGGCACCACAAACTGAGTAGTTAGATGTTGTCAGTCTGCGTGCAGTCAGCTAGTAAAGTGGCAACTCACCTTGGCAATGCCGATCTCCTTGAGGGCACCCTTTGCCTGAGCTCGGTCAATCTATAATATGGTCAGACCCACGTAAGTGTTGGATATACGCTGGGGTCTTACCTGGAGTGCAGCGCTCAGAACCAGAAGTCTGGCAGACTCAATCTCCGCGCGGCAATTGGCGAGTTGAGAGATGACAGTGCCTACAACAAGGTGCTCAGATCTTTCAGCAAGAGAGAGCAAATGATGTCATTGTACCATGCTCGTAGAGGTACTTCCCGAACGTCTTCTTTGCCGGGTCGGTGACGCGTTGTATCATGAGGTCTAGCGCGTACTGAGCACACCCAATTGACCGCATGCAGTGATGAATGCGTCCAGGGCTGGCAAGGTCCTTGAGTGATGCTACAATTTGAGCCTGATGTGTACTCACCCTAGGCGTCCTTGGATGATCTACAACATACGCGACTGAGAGTCAGAGTATGGTACAACACCACCTGCCCTGCTTACCTCGAAGCCTTTGCCCCAGCCCAGGACAAGATTGCTCACAGGCACGCGAACGTTCTCGTATATGATTTCACAGTGTCCCTCAGGCGCATCATCGTACCCAAAGACGCCCATGGGGCGCACAACCTTGACACCAGGGGCATTGGCAGGTACAATGACTATGCTTTGCTGACGGTACTTGTCGGTGTTGTTGGGGTCACTCTTGCCAAGAACCAGGTGCAGGGCACAGCGAGGATCGCCAGCACCGCTGATGTACCTGTGATTCGAGCATAGGTTGGGTGCACGGAGGTCCGACTGCAGGAGAGAGCTTACCACTTGTGACCGTTAATCACTATCTCGTCACCCTCCAGCCTGATGCTTGTCCGGATGTTGGTCGCGTCGGAGGAGGCAACTGAACATAATTAGATAACATGAGGACCATACATGCGTCGTACGCACCAAACCTCTCAGTCATCGCGAATGCTGACCGAGTCTCGCCATTCAGCAGCGGGAGTAGCCATTTCTTCTGTTGCTCCGGTGACCCGTAGCGTGCCAGGACCTCTGTATGGATTGCTTAGGCATAACGCACGGATAGAGATGCGGTGCTTACCCATGTTTCCCGTGTCTGGAGCTGAGCAATTGACGGCCTCCGAAGCCATCTGTCCACCACGCCCAAGGATCTCCGCCATGAATGCATACTGGGACAATGTCAGCTCCGGTACCACAGTCGACCCGATTCACGTACCTCGAGGTTCGTGAGGGGCACCCCAAACTCAGGGTAGCGCGCCTTGCTCAAGAAGAGGTTCCAGAGCCCGAGCTCACGGGCCTTGGCCTTGAGTTCTGCGACAATGGGGATCACGGCCTTCCACCTGTTCTCGGGGTCAGCAGGCAGCTGGGCGTGGGCAACCTTCTGGGCAGGCAGAATCTCGTCCTGGCACCCCATTCCATTTCAGCAACATTGCATGTAAAGAAGGGAGCGCTTTACATGAACGAAGGCGATGAGCTTCGCGAGAGTTTCCTTCGCATAGGGCGAGAACTTGTCCTCAACCTACCCCTCGTCAATTCACATAGCAGGATTATAGATCTTCCCAAAGTTACCATAGCCCATGCTGACGGCGACGCGAACTCTTCAATAGGATGAGGTGCCATGGCGAGGGTTGACGAAGAGTGCTGCCTTGCATCTTCCGGGGTCGCTCCTTCATATGGTGTACACGGGAGAGGATCAGTTGACCTGCTGTTTCCGATCCGCCTGGCCACTGCGGCGGCACTTATGCCTTCATTTGACCGAGCTTATAATCACGTTGTTGAGCTCGGGGCGATAGGTTCACATGCCCGCAACAATCACGTTGAGACAGCAATATAACGACGGGATTATATTTGAATAGCTTGTACTACAGGCTGCAGCCGACCTCGGTAACGTAGACGTCAGAGACACTACGGATACAAATACACGTTCGGAGTTAGTACAGAGGTAAGGTTGCATAGCGAGAATTGTCTATGTCAGGCGCATTAATACAATATCACATCAGGGCATCGCATCCGTATTGACATCCCGACTATCAAAGCAAACGCACGTAGGGCACATTTCATCATGCGCGGTCATGGCACGGGGTTCTGCCATTGCTCGTCCAAGGCCGGCTCGCCGAGCGTGAAGGGGATCTCTGGGTCATAGCCAAAGGCGTTCGGATCGAAGGTATTCCACGCCTGGTCACCACCGCTAGAGAAGCCTGAAGGGTTGTAATTCCGAATGAAGTCGAGGCCACGGAAGGGTAGCCCCGACGCAGCGAAGCCATTGGCTGTCGGTGGCGACGAGCTAGGCACCCCAAAGAGCGCTGGGTCCATGCTGCTCAGTCCGTCATAGCCGAGATACGATGCATCAAAGTTCGACGACGACGGAGGGTTGAAGGATATAGGGGAGTACGGCTGCGCTTGCTGCTGGGTTGGGCTCTGTGGCTGCTGAGACTGCGATGAATGCGAGCCAGATGCCATGAACTTTAATCCGCTGGCACCAGGCTCCGGCACCCCACCCCAGCGGTCAGGTGGGCTCTGCGACAGACCAAAGTCGTAGTCAAAGCGCTGAGACGGTATCGACGAGGTCGGCGACTGCGGGAGGGGAATATTCATCGGGTTGAACGCAGACGTGGACATCATGCGAGGGCTAGCGTCGGGGAAGTCAAGACTCTGTCCTGACGGCGAGGGCTGACTGTTGACCGACGCAGGGGAACTAGTTGAGCTAAGCGACGAACGTCCAGGGTACGAGCTGGAGAGCATGCTGTAGCCTTGACTGCCGTCTTGGAACTGGTCGTCATCATGAGGCCGCTTGCGAGACGTCGACCGGGCGCGTTGCGCTGCAATACTCATAAGTCACTGGGCAATACAGGAGAAGCCTGCCCACTTACAATTAGAACGGAACTGCACGCCTGGCATTGCCTGGTGAGTGGATAGGCGCGGATCCCTCGATCGATTCCGCCGAGGCTTCGCCTTAATCAAACGTTCGGGCATGGCCATAGGGGCCGCGGCAGACATGCGTCCTTCTGGAATGCCAGAAACCGAGGTGGTTGGCGAACGCATGAGGCTATTTGCATTCGCGCGGTTGTTGGAAGCAGTTTGAATAGCCTCGCGGGCGGTGGCGGTGATCTCCTCGAGGAGCTCCTTGCATTTCCGCGCTCCGGGCCACTGTGCCTCCCACTGCTCCAGCATGGGGAGACAACTCGTAGCCTCGTCCATCGCAGCTTGCGCAGCGGTAGGTTCTGGTGTGTGCATGGCGTAGAGAAGGATGATGACGGCAGAGCTGAAGAGGTTCTGGATGAAGAAAGCGAGATGGTGACTAGGAGGTACGACACCTCGGATGGCGGGAGCTAGGCGGATACATGCACGGGCAGTGGAGACTGCCTTGGCTGTCGAGCGCGGATACAGCGGTTGGTCGTACTTAACGGGCACGAAGTTCCGGTGGAGGGTGACCAGAATTGAGTAGTAGTGACTGCAAAGCACAGCTCCCATTGACACCTGCTTGTCGGTCATAGGCCGTGACTTGAAAGCCTCCGGCAAATCGTCGCACCATTTCGTGAGCTGGTTGTCCAACGACTCGACAGCGCGCTGGAGATCGGCACGTTTCTCCTGTTCCAGGGTCTCTCTACACTTGTCGAGGGCGTAGACCTGGCGCAAAACCCTTCCGCCTATCCTGTAGAGTACTGTGAGGTCGATGAAGCCCTTCATGAGTTGCGGAGGCTCCCGAGGGATAGTGGCGCCGGCGAAATAGTCGGGAAGCA